ACAATGGAATACTATTCAGCCATAAAAACTGACAACATAACGCCATTTGCAGCAACATGGATGTTCCTGGAGAATGTCATTCTAAGTGAAGTAAGCCGGAAAGAGAAAGAAAAATACCATATGAGATCGCTCATATGTGGAATCCAAAAACAAAAAACAAAAACAAAAATACAAAATAGAAACAGACTCATAGACATAGAATACAAACTTGTGGTTGCCAGGGGGGACGGCAGGTGGGAAGGGACTGGGATTTCAAAACGTAGAATAGATAAACAAGATTGTACTGTGTAGCACAGGGAAATATATACAGGATCTTGTGGCTCACAGCGAAAGAGAATGTGGCAATGAATGTATTTATGTTCATGTATAACTGAAAAATTGTGCTCTACACTGGAATTTGACACAACATTGTAAAATGACTATAACTCAATAGAAAAGTTGATATTAAAAAAAGATAAGAGAGAAAAATCAATGAACTAGAAAGTACACAAACAATAAAGCTAGTCAATGAAACCAAAAAAAAACCCCAAGAGGAAGGATGGTGCTTAGAGCTGGGATGAGCTGACCATCACATCACCCCTGCCCCCGAAGAGTCTGAGTCTGTACATCTGAGATGGGGCCTGGAGATCTGCATTCTTTAAAAGCTTCCCAGATGGTTGTATGGGTCAGCGAGGTGCTGGAGCCCAGGCCAGTGCACCCACTCCTGGCCTGACTTTCCCCGGCTCCAGTCTTCTGAAAGGTCCTGTCCTGGGGGACAGCAACGACCATCAACCTCTCTGCCCACCGGCAGCCCGGCTTCCAGGCCCCAGCCTGGTAGCCCCCTCATGGCCTAGGAGCCCCTAACTTCTCATCTCCCATCTGTTTCCTCGGGACCTATTGTCCTTTTGCCTTGGAAGTTTTTCTGAAACCATGCTGACCACTTCATGGCTCGTGGATTCCCGAGATCGGGAGACACAATTTCCCTCCTAACCCTGGGCTCCTGGTCCACGGGGAAAGTGAAGCAGCTTAGAATAGAAGTCTGTCTCATGTTGAAAGCTAATCAGTTCGGCTCAGAGTGAGCCTCGAAAACCCCAGCAAAGGGCCCAGATACATCCTGCCCACAGGGGCACAGGCCAAGGCCCGGGGCACCCCAAGGGCCTCCCCTCTCACCCCCAGGCCTGGCCCCTCCCCGCCCGCCGGGCAGGCCTGCCTTTCCCTGCCAGCTCCCCAGTGGCCCCGCAGCAAGAGAGCCCCTGCGATGGCGTCACTGTCGTTTTTTCTTGCCCTTCCAAGAAGATGCTGGACGAGCAAGGAGAAGGGATGAGCTTCCAGCCGCCGCTCCTCTCGGTAGGGCCGGCCCTGTGCACACAGGCCTGGGGCCGCGTGCTCGCCTGCTCTCGGCGGTGCCTCCACACTCAGCTGTGAGCAGTTCTAGTTGCCAAACCTTTCTGCCCTGCCTCCTCCAAGGGCAACTGCGTCTTACCTGGGTCATGCTCTCATCTCACTTGGCTTAAATCAAAGGCACTTTCAGCACTGGAGACCTGGATGAGAGAGGGACTGTCCCTGTGTACCCCCCACACACACACCCATCACACCTGAAAGTTTATACCATCAGGCGGAGTGGGCTCCCCCGCCCCAGGCGGCACCGGAGAGAACTGTGCTCCCACAGCAAAAGGACTTGGTCCCACATGGGCTTCACCATCAGAGCTGCAGTCTCGTTGTCACTGGGAGAATTCTGCAGCAAAGGCCCTCCAAGTCACTTGGGAACGTACAGCTGCTGCACCAGGGCCAGCGACCCTCATCCCTGCTGGAAATGAGGCAGCGGCCCCTGCTCCCAGCCCCACCTCCGCTCCTCCAAGCCACCGCAGGCCCTGGGGAAGAGTGAGCATCAAGCTGATTCGAGGACTGAATGTTTCTTAGGTTATTTTTTGATCACCATTTTTTTCAGGGAAGGCAGAATGCATGGTTGAAGTTTGCGGGGTGTGTGGAAACTCAACCCCAGCATCGTCCCCGCCCTCCAGGCCCAGACTTGAGAAACTGCAGACCAGGCCTCCCTGCAGGGCCCCAGACCTGCCTGAACTCGGGATCCCTGGAGGTGGGGTCCCCCGGCTCCACAGCCCAGCGTCTTCACACCTTCTGAGGAGAATCCTTCCATTCAGACCATTTCTGGGTGTTTTAGACCCCATTTTCCTGAAGGGGCCTTAGCCCAGGACCAGATACCCACAGACTGGGGTGGACCCTAGCCCTGGGAAGTAGGGAGAGCCTAGCGTGAGAAGTCCGATGGGAGCCCTTTAAAAGGTCAGAAGCTAGTGGGGATCTGCTCCCCTGCAGAGTGAAAGAAGATTCCCCTCTGCTCTCCTCTCCAGCAAGGACAGTAAGGAAATGCTAATGTTTGCCGAGTTATTGCTTTGTACAGGCACCTAATCTTCACAACAACCCTAGGAGTAAAGTACTGTTATTATTTGCATTTTACCACTGAAACTGAGGCACAGAGAGATTAAGTAACTGGCCCAAGGTCACATAGCTTGCAAGTCGCAGAGCCAGCTATGAACCTAGAGAGTCCGGCTCCAGAGCCCAGGTTTTTCACTCATCACATACATACAGCCTCTTGTCTAAGAAAAGAGGGATGAGGTTGGACACGCCGGGGCCCGACGGTGAAGGGACTCAGCTGTTTGCACTTGGTTTGATGGGCAGTGGGAAGCAACAGGAGGACCTAGGGTTGGGAGTGACCAGGGGACATTCTGCTTATTGGAGGTGAACAAGGCTGCTGTTAGCAGGCCTGAGCTGGCCTCTCCCTCCCGGCAGAACTTCAAGGCCCCTGGACATCCCAGCCAAGGTCTAGCAAGTGGTCTGAGTAATCCAGGCACCCTGCAAACCCCTCTTCTCCTGACGAACTCCGGGTCAGATTCTCTTCCCTTCTGCATTTGGTTCCTGAGAGAAGTTGCTGCCCTAGCAGCACCGATTCTCAGGACAGCCCTGGTGAGATCAAAAAGCAGAGGCTTGAAATGGCTTGAAATGCTGGGAAAGGACAGCTCGAAGAAGAGCAGGGCCTGGGCTGGAAGAAGAATGAACCACCCCTCACTCACCCACACTCGGGCATCAGGCAGTGTGGGGCCAGAGTCCACCCAGGAGCCAGACAGGTGTAGCCCCTGCCCTCCGGACCACACGTTATGTTGACATTTAATGGGAGGACAGGTAATAAGCAAGTAGGGTCAGTTCTCATTATTCAAAATAGCTGTTCTATAAAGTATCCAGAACACCGAACTAGCAAACCCTGAACCATTGCTCCCAGGGGGAAGGTGTATATGTACATATTTCACATAGAGTCACAAACGCGCACAGAGGAGTGAAAAATTCAAGTCTTCTGATGTGCATGTTCCCAGCTGCTTTGCCTTCTTGATTTGGCTCCTGCCGTGGTGACCAGAGGTTGGAGCCAGGAGGGGCATGTGGTGCTGGAAGCCCCAGCTCTGGGGCCCACTGAACTCTACTGGCATGGGCTGTTTCTAATATGTATGTTTATGTGAGACACACAAAACACACACACACACACACACACACACACACACCTATTTCCCTTGGGAGCAATGGGTCAGTATTCTCAATTCCATGTTTGAGGCAACTTTATAGAACCCAACTACCGCAAAGAATGAGACTTAATGTATATTAGCTAATTATATGAAGGAAACTAACAAGAGACGGAGATGGACTGTCATATAGGGACACACCGGGGCTGCTGGAAGGGCGTCTCTGAGGAGGTGACATTTAAGCTGAGACTTAGAGTAGAAGCAGGTGCTGGCCACGCCAAGCAGGGTGGGGAAGAGCTTTCTAGGCAGAGGGAAGAACACGGCAAAGGGGTGAGGAGGTCAAGGATACGAGTGACCCAGGAACTGAAAGAAGTGAGTGGGAGTGGGGGGCCAGGGGCAGGGGAGGAGCCTGAACACGGACAGGCAGGGGCTGAAGGGCCGTACCTGGTCTTGGGTTGGCCTCCTTGTTCCCACCTGCCAAGGCCCCGTGGGTGGGCTAAGGAGGAAAAAGCAAGGCAGGAGGGTAGGGAGGAGGGGCAGGCCTGCATCGGCCAGAGAGGCTGTGCCCCTCGACCCCAGGCCCAGCACAGTGACTGCCTGATGCCTTCTTGGTCTAGGTTGAGCCTGAGCCCAAACCTAGGCTACTACTTCGCCAAAGGCAAGCACCAGAAGGCCTGGAACTGGTGGGATCTGAACCTGCACGTCCACGCACCCCCTGTCCAGTCCATCTCCTTGAATATCAACCGCTACATCAAGGTACATATAAGGAGCCAGGATAAGATCATCTTCCACTTCATCCACCAAAAGAAACGCATCTGCTTAAACCTGGGCACCAGGTACAAGGTAAGGTCTCAACTCCCCACACCCTCTGCCAGTTGGAGAACCACCTGCACACAGTCACTGCTGGCTTGGACTGGTCCACACTGGGCCTGCCGCCACATTCTCCATCACTCCAGCCCCTAGGAAAACAAAGCCTCCTTCCCTGACCCGATGCTTGACCATATACAAAGGCAAACACTTAACTTCTGGGCACCATGAGATGCAGAGCTGAGGAAACTGACATCTTCATCCCAGCAAGGCCCAGACCCGCTCCAATGGGAGCCCAACATGGATGTGGGGCTCATAGCAGACACGGTGACCCGCCTCCTGGCTGCGGCAGGGCCTCAGTCTCCTGCCATGCTAGGGAATCCCTGGGGAGAAGCCAGACGTCCCCTAGATGGCACAGCCTTTGGAAGACAGGCTGCACCGGGGCCCAGCAGCTGGCCTCCCTTTGGTTTGGGGTCAGGCTGGGGTGTGGCCTGAACCCAATCGCTGCAGCCCATGTAGCCACAGGCATAAGCCAAGCGAGTATCTCGGGGAAGCAGCAGAAATGTTGCCGGTGGCAGCGCCATGTGCACAGCTTTGCCCTGGAGAGTGACGTCTCCAGGGGAGACTTGGTCCTGGCTGTGGGAGCCTGATCCTGGCGTGAGGGGAGCATGGTGCCCGGGCAGCATTAATCCTCACTGAGCCTTCTATGCACTCCTGCAGTTCATCAGCCCAGAGGTACTGAGTGAAATGAAGAAGAAAGCAATCCTAGAAATGGAAATCAGTCCAACAGCTCAGAAGATCCAGATCCTCCTGGGAAAAATGAGTAGGACCCTGAATATACTGACCATCTTTGATCTCAAAAACTTCCTAGCGGGCTCCAAGATCTTCCCAATGAGACAATCTGAGCTGGAGGAGAAAACCTCATCTTCCAGTCTCAGGCAGTTGCCAGATTGCCCCACAGCCTCTTCAGCCTGTGCTGAATGTTTCAGGGAGGTGGGGTTGTAAAAATCCTAGAGGAAAAGCCCAAAGCCCTAGTTTATGTCTTTGAGAGTTGGTTTGTAATTTGAGATCTATGACAGATCCTTGGTTTGGGGGGGGAGGTATTTTTGGTGGGGAAGGGGTGACAGACTCTGTAGCTGGCCACAGAAAAGACTTAATCAGCCCAGTCCCACTCTGACAGCATTAGAAATAAATTGTTTCAATAGACAATATACATCAACACCTGTCTCGCTTGATTCTGCTGGTCACTTGAATGCAGAAGTTCTTTTGTGGCTTTCCTGTACTTGGTCTGACTCAAGACACAGGCTATCTCAAAGCCTAACTCTGCCCCTAGTTGGCTGTGTGACCTTGGGCAAGTAGCTTTCTGCCTCAGTTTCCTCATCTATAAAATGGGTCTAGAAATAGCCTCACAAACCACCCCCTCATTCACCCCTGCCAAGGCAGAGGGAAGCCCAGTTAGAAAAGCAGCCCCAGCCTGCAGCCAGTGTCCCAAACCAGGAGCCGACTGGGAGCCCGGAAGGACCCACATTTAAACCCCTTTCAATAGCTGGGCCGCTTTTGGTCACGGGTAACAGTCACCAACTCAAATAGGTAAAGCAAGATGGGAAACATCATCAGGATGGAAGATGCAATACATCTCCCTCCTAGTGGAGGGAGGCCTCCAGGAGCCAGGGGGGACTTTCGTTCTTGTGTCTGCAACACTCACGTTCTTCCAAAGGCATGTTTTCTGTGCATCTCGGTTCACACGGCTTTCTCTCCTCACCTTTCTCAGAAGAACCCCGTAGTCTCCAACTGACCTGGCTTGATCCGGAGGCCACTCTTGGCGCGATCATGTGGTAAGGGAGGTGGGGTTATGTTTTGTAAACACAGCTCCTAGCTGATGCCAAGCATGGTCGGGGGTAGTCTCTAGAAAAGGGAGACTCGGGAGCTGGTTGGCCTCCTCTAGTGTGACTTATAGATTCCTGAGACACTGCAGGATTCCCAGGATGGCTTCCACTGCAACCTGAACAGAAAGAGTGTAGAAAACTCCTTCTTAACTCAGCCCAGCAAACCAGCCATTCCCTGCGGTGAGCAGACACCCGAGCCCCATGTCGCGGCCCTGCTCTCCTGATCTCACACCGCCTGCCACCAACCCTCACCAAAGTCCTGCCATCACCCCAACCCCGAATGCTGCGCGGCTGCGGTGGTACCAGGCTGTAAGGCCGGTGGTGGAGGGGCGTTACACGGTCACTTCCCCTTCGGGACTGTCACACGTTGGCAAACGGCATCATCAGCTAAGACAACAGTTATTTTGTTGCCAGACAGTGAGCCACAGATGACCACTGCAAGAGCAAACCCTCACAAGCCAACCTTGACATTTTAGGGAGCGGGTTAGTTTCCACCTCTGCTCAGTGTGCGTGGGGCCCCCTCCCTTACCAGTTGCTAGAGACAAGCTCCGGAGTCGGGTCTGGGCTACAAACAAATCCTCCCAAGCTTGTGGCGTCTCAGAGAATTGAGCCCACCGGGGAACTGAAAGCACATGTGCCCTTGAAGCAGACAAGCCTGGTCTGCTTCTTGGATGGTCTTGGAACCATCACCACCACCTGCTGGCTGTGCGGCCCTGGCCAAGGCAGTAAGCCCCTCTGGGACTCAGTTTCCTCGTCTGTAACAGGAATACAAGCAAGGAACACACCTCATGGAGTTACGGTGAGGAAGAATAGGGGTGGCCGCGGTGTGCTCTCAGCTTACAGGGGGCTTAACCCACGTGGGCTCTGAGGTTCACCAGCCAGTTCCTCTCCCTGGTCTTTCTCCTTCCATAAAACCTAAACACGTGACTCCGTTAATGCAGAGGTTGTCCACAGGTGGCCTCAAAGAGGCATTGTGTTTGGTCAGCCCCGTTTTCAAATATTTTGTTGCCAACCCTTATAAGGCACGCTATTTCCAACCTCTCTTGTGGTTGCTGCTCTGTACAAATGTTATCAAAGACAGGACAGAAAACTCAGTGCCCAGGGGCTATTTCATAAGGAAAAATGAGTCACCTCACAGGTTGAGGAGTAAGTAGTGAAAGCAGCCAGATGAGCGGGAACTATAAAACTTCAGCACCCTCTGGCCTGCATTCGTTTGCTAGAGCTGCTGTAACAAAGGACCACACCCTGGGTGGCTCACACAACAGCAATTTATTGACTCACAATCCTAGAGGCCGGAAGTCCAAGACCAAGGGCCAGAGAAGGATGTGGTCAAGGCCCCTCTCCCAGCTTCTACCAGTACCTTTGTCTCGTGGCAGCATTAATTCAGTCTTCATGTGGCATTTTCCCTGTGCATGTCTCTGTATCAAATTATCGTTCAACTAATGAAGCATTAAGAAGCTTCAAAAAATGTCTTTCTACAATAATCACCTTGCCAAAAGAATCCACAGAGTACAAGGAAAACAGAGGAAGGCGGGGTAACGCTGATGGAGCCCACTGAACTCAATAACCTGCTTGTGATACAACTTGTTAACGTTCTGCAAGATGACATCACTGGGAGAAATCTGGTAACGGAACACGGGATCTCTCTGTATTACTGCTTACAACCGCATGTCAATCTACAGGTTATCTCAATAAAAACTTCAGCTAAAAATTTTTTTTAAAGAACCCACACACATAATGGACCCATGAGGACAAGGTAGGAAGCAAAAATCTTTATTTAAAAAAAAATTCACATTTATTAAAAACAGCAATTTCTAGCCAAATAATATAAGGCATTTTAAGTTAATTATTTGAAAGTATGTACACTCTGTATAAGTAAATACTTGAAACTGTACAGATTTAAACAAACAGTCATTTAGCAAACAAACGGGATCACTATCACCTAACTCAGCACTTCTGTCAGGTGTTTGAGTGTTTCAGACATAAAAGATTCAAAACACAAGAATGAGTGCCGTCAAATATTTTTATCCTTAAGAACAGACTCGCTCTGTACACCAAATTAGTCACAGTACTGTACAATAATCATGCCCTCATTTCTTTGGAGAGGCGATTAAAAATCAAATGTACATATAATATACAAAACTGGATATTTTACAGTTTATTTCATTAAACACATATTTAAAATAGTAAAAGTACATATAATCTTTCTAATTCACTCATTTCCTGTCAGAGAATGAATATGGACCCTCTTTACCTTTTAGTTTCCCAAGATCCAGAGTATTAAGCTCTGTCAAGCAACATCCATCACCAAGTTAAACCGAGCTGAAAAACAAGTGACCTGTTTAAAATGACAGGCATCACAAGATGTACACACGGCGGGAGGAGAAATGCTAGTCGCACAGAACGAGGCCTGCTGGCTACCTTCCAGAACCCTTGTTAGCGTTCTATCTCTAAACTAGTGTCTGAATAACTCAAAATCCCTTGTGAACCAAAACGCAGGTTACATTTACTGTAACATCAGAGGCAAAACCAAACCAATCCAAACAGGAAACAGGTATTTGTAGGAAAACTCATAGACGTGCATCATTTATCTGATGATCGCTGATACCCTGTGGTGGGTGGGTCTGAAGGGATGGGCGGTCTTCATCACCCTCTCTGTTAGTAAAATGCATTCCGCAGTAGCAGGGCTGGCGCGGCACAGCCACTGTGAAGTACAGGACATGAAAGTGTTCACTTTTCAAAGAACCACGGAAACGGAAGGCAGTGTGCAGAAGGCAGGCAGCCCGACCTCCGTGCCAGGTGCACCATTCATCAGGCTTCCTTCCCTCCTTCCTGCGCCAGACTGAAGATGCCTTAATTGGTATTTCCCACTCACAAACACTGCCTATTGTACCGTGAAGATTCTCATTAAAGATACGACACATTTCTATCATAAGGAGGCTGCTGCTCCCTGCCTGCTTTTCAACGCCCTGCCCCTAAGCAATTCACGGAGTACAGATCCCGGGACTTTACGCCAGGTCCCTGCATCTTGAAACTCCCTCACATCAAACACACAGAAAGATAACACCCTGAATTCCCAGAAAAGCAGAGCGTGTTCTCAGAAGCATCCAATCTACTCCCAACTAAACTTCAAAGTGATAGGAGAAACATTACATTAAATAGAGTGTAAAGATAACATTTCTGGAAATAAAAAAATTAGTCACCATGGAATGTTCAGTGGTTAAAAAGATTGCAGTGTTTCACACTTTAACAGACCTTTCTCTTAGCTTTCTAATTAGCTGTATTTCCATAAAGTTCTTCTTTGAACTATTTATTGTCACCTATTTTCATTGCACACTTTTTCTTAGAACCATTTCACTGAGTGCACACCATAAATTCCTCTTAACTTACACTGCTCGTGACCATTTAAATGAGACAGTTATCAGCACTCATAGATTAATCTTTGGCATTTTGATGTTTTTCAGAGGGAAACATCAATCATTTCACTCTTTGCTTCTATGTCATTCTGCAGTCAGCACTGAGCAGCACGCCGTGTGGTTCTCGGGACATCCTTCGTACAGTTCCCCGGGGGGTGCAGGCCGAGGGACACCTCAGCCCGCTCCCACCAGACAGGCCTTTTACACACAGCCCGACAGGCCTGGTTACTTGGAAACTGACAGCAGGAGGTTCAGCTGAAAAACAAAGAGAAGGCTATGTTAGTTCTGCTGCAGAATACCATACTCAAGAAAACTATTTAGATTCTCAAAAACAGAATGAGAGGGAAAGTCCAAGATTTGTAAGAGACCAGTAAACATGGCTGCAAGGTGTAAACTGGACCTGCAATGCTGGTCTGATTTCTGAAGCAGCCTCTGGGTGCAGCACATCATGGAGGCCTGTGGGGAGTCACACCCCATCACAAACCTAGGCCCTCGGCTCACTTAGAATCCAGTGAGGAAGACAGAAAAAAAACCACACACCAACAATGACAAATTAAATAATCAATCTCACCTTTTCCTACGCAGAGTGTGTTTTGGGGAGAATCCTACATAGCCGAATTCTTTAAATGAATTCCCCTCCTTCCCGGCTGCCCCCCAAGGACAAGCCTCCCCTGCAGCCTCCTCAAGTGATAGGATTTTCTCTTCCACACGCCTGGAGGTGGGATCAGAGGCCCCCCGTTCCTCACTGGCATTTCCAGCCCATTCTCCTTCCCTGTCGCAGCACCTTCCACAGCTTTCCTGGCCCTGGTATCAGACCATGCCAGGCTTCACTTCTCCATCTGAGACCCCTTGGCCATCAGCCTGCCCTGCATTTCGGGCAGATCTCAGAGCATGATCACTCTTTTCTGCAACTACTCCTGCAGGAATTCTTGATGATTTCAACATCCAGACAGATAACACTTCCGGTGTGGAGGTCTCTCAGTCCTGCAGCTCCTTTCCTCCCACAGTCTCATCTTCCATCACCCACGTCAGCCAGCCATGCATGGAGACACCCTCACCCTCGTGACCCTGACTGCAGCCCCTCCGTCAAGCATCTCACTCTTTGATCACAATGTCTTCCCAGCTCATCCTCTCCTCCTCCAACTCCAGTGACACTCTGACTCCGCCAGGCCTAGAATCCATGGTTCCTCCTACCTCTTCACACTCTTCCCTCAGCTCCCTCTTGCTCCTCGTCCGCTCAAGTTCTGTGGCAATGGTTTAAATCACTCCCTTCTTTAAACACTTATCTCTCCTGCCCCCACGCCCCTCCCCCTGGTCCCTACTGGCAAAACCACAGTCCTGATGACTACAACCCTCCAGCCACCCTGCATCAACCTTCACACAACTGTGACTGGAGAAAACAAATGAGACAACTATGTTGAATGGTCTCTATTGGGCTCATAACCACAGAACTCAACAGAACCCTCCTCCCAAATCTCTAGCACCTTTCACTCTCAGTGATAACCATGCTTCCTGGTTCAAAGAAGAGCGCCCGGGAGCTCCCACCACACCCACCAGCTCCCTGCATGTGCGCCCACACACCTTGCCTTCTCCCCTCTTCCCACGCTGAACCCCGCAGGCATCCAGCAAAGGCCCCACCCTCCAATTGTCCCTGAGATCCACCCCCACTTCTCTTCTCAGGAACATTTTCCCAGCAGCAATTTTCTCCTCAATTTAGATCTTCCCCATGAATACACAAACATGCATTCCCCCAACTTAGAAAAAAAAAAAAAAGGAAGGGTAATCCAATAACAAATACAAGTAACTATCTAAGGAGGAGAGAGGGGAAGGCTGGAGGGACTAGAAAAGGAAGCAAGACCCCTTCAAATTCACCTTGTTCCATAATTCTGACTCGGGAACCATGTGAATATCTCATATAATTAAAAACAAAATTAAATAAAAACAAGAGGGGAAAATCTCTAACTACTGAAAACAAACCCAACTATGTATTAAGTTAATGGTATAATTACATAGAGTATAATCACTGCAAATGACTTAGAAAAAAGGATCTTGACCATACATCCCTAGAACTACAGAGACAGTTTATCTTTTTAAAATACGACCCCCAGAGCCATCCAAAGACACACACACAGCCAAGAGGGAGAATGAAGCCCTGATACACACTGCAACACAGATAAGCCTTAAAAACATTATGCTGATAGAAAGAAGCCAGTCATGAAGGCCATGTACAGTACAATTGCACCTGATGAACTGCCCGGGACAGGCAAATCCAGAGGCCACAGCAGATGAGCAGAAGGCAGGTGCGTGCGCGTGTGTGTGGAATCTGCTAATAACAGGTAGGGATTTCTTTTGGGGGATGAAAATGTTCTGGAATTAGACAGTGGTGATGGCTGAACAATGCAGTGAATGTACTAAAAACCACTGAATTGTCCACTTTAAAAGGGGGAATTTTATGGCATATGAATTATATCTCAATTTAAAAATGACCCTATTTCTCCTCCAGCTACCACCCCACTTCCCCTCTCCCCATGTAGTAAAACTCCTCCGAAGACTCACCACAGTCCCTGCCTCCGGGCTCCCTCCCCGCAGGCTGCACCCACTCCACTAGCCCTCACCACCCTGACCACAGGCTAACCTCCCACACTAAACCAAACTTAAAACCGGAAATAAAACACCCTCCACAGCACCAGCCTACTCCTACTCAATAAAACACTTGCCGACTGAACTGAATAAATGAGTAACAGTAAACACAGACTGAGCTCTCTATTCAGTTTCTTTTAATTTAAGAAGAGAGAAAACAGAAACACTGCTCTCTGGGGTCTATCTGAATCCCTCAAATAACTTCCATTTTTTTTTTCATTTGAGACATGTTCCACTACCATGCACGTTGCAAACAAATTATTCAGCAATCTAAGGATCACTATTTGAATCTTTCACAAATGGCTTATTCGTCTTAAACACAGCAACCTTCAATGTCAGAAAGCATTAAAAAGCAATTAAAAATTCTAAAGACATCAACAAATATTTGAGAGAGCAATTCAAAGCTTGAACTCTTGCTCATCAAAATAAAACAATGTACAATTTTTAAAATTACATCTAAAAACATGGTTACTCAGAGACATGGTCTATTCAAGTAAAATAACTAAGAGGTTATAAAAGTAACAAAATCTTCAGACTATGGATTACCTGTTCCATAGAAGGACAAGCAATGATCTGGATATCTTCAGGGCTGAACTCTTCCTTTAACAAAACATGGAACTTCTGGAAAATCTGCTGAATATTATTCTTAGAAAGAAGAGGCAATCATATTACACGAGTCACAGAAAACATATGCAGTCACCTCAGACATGAAGCACTAATAATGTTAAATCTTACTATTTGCCAAAACAAGTGGAGGAAATGTATCTTCCGTGGAGTCACCAAACACTTACAATTTACACTAAATATTTCACATGCTAGCACAACCTAAGACTTATCAGACAGTACTTCCTAAAAAAACTAAACTCTAGCAAGCTCTGTCCCCAACAGAGAATAATACGAGTCTTCAGCAGCAATTTCTTACACAAAAGATAATAAAGTTCCAGACACATAAAATGTACTTTAAAAATCAACCAACACCGTGTGAGCTCAACACAGCACTGGAAGCTATGAACACTAAACTGGCCTTGACATTTAATTCCTCGGTGGCCACTGCCAGCCATTTATTTCCACTGCTCACCAGCAAAATGGGGCATAATTCTTGAAATGCTGTCCTCTCAAGTGTTGGGCCACATCTAATGTGAGTCTGATTACTTATTTATTATTAATTTCTACTTGTAGGTGGAAATTACCTTCGTGCCAAAGGTAATGGAAATTAAGGAAAAGGAAATTAAGATAAAGTGAGGGTAGGGGAAAAAAAGATACAATCAGATGATTGTAAGTTTTGTAAGTCTTTCAAGAATCATGGTGATTTTTAATCAACTGCACTAGAAGAGCATACCAACATTTCAAAATGTTTACAGGAAGAGAAAGATGGTAGACAAGGCAAAAACACGTGAAGAGACTGCCCAACCCTCAAGCAGATTATCACAATACTCACCCTAACAGGTTTAAAAAGGATGAACTCAGTATCTTTGTTGGATAGGTACAATGACATACTTCTCAATGTCAGGGGCAGCTTTGCTTTTATTGTCTTGTAGGCACTTGCCACAAGGTCACCAACCTTTGCTGGAAAGAAATTAACCTCATTAGTGTCACAAAGAAAAAGAGAAGAAACATTTCCATTTTAATTCAGAGGGGAATAAAAGGAGAAGAAAATAGCAAAATAAAATACTCTTTATTTCCCCAAAGAATTTCTTTCACTTGTTTATTTATCAAGTTTAATCATAAGCCCTATAAACATTTATTAAATTTCTATTATATACAAAATTCTAATCCTAAGGGATAGGGCAACAAAAGAATTCCCTCAGCATGGCTCAGGACATTCAGGGGCTGTAATACGGTACCTTTGGAATCTGGAGTAAGAGGTAAGGTAAAATAAAAAGTCATTTGCAGTGAGACACTGGTAAGAATTACTTTGTAATGAACAAGCTTATTCATTTGCAGAACCAACTCACAGTAAGAGATGCTGTCTTATGAGATCATTCAGAAAATACCCACACATACTTAATGGGAACTAAAAATCCATTTGTACATTCTTATACTATATTATCAGAAAGGGAATAGAATTCCAGAAAATTGGAATTGAAATAATTAGTAGCCCAGGTGCGTGTCTGCAAAGACGTGCAAATGGAAAAGAAGAGCAGTAATCTGTATGAAGTATTTAAAAGAATAAATTACCTAGAAAGCTATAAAGGAAAAGACTGATAATTTCGAAGATGCTCAAACTCACTCATAATTAAAGAAATACATATGAAAACAACTGAGATATTTCAGATTGGTAAAAATTACTAAGATTGTGAATATCCTTATTTGGCAGGGGTGTAGGGAACAGGTACCCTCATCCACTGTTGATGGGAGTATAAATTGGTTCAACCTCTTTGAAGGGATATTAGGCAATGTCTAGCAAAACTGAAAATACATGTACTCTTTCACTTAACACTTCTACTGCTCGGTAGAGCTGAATATTCTGGTACAGAAAGGGCTCCTAGATGTGGAATTAAAAAAAAAAAAGCAAGGGATATAGTATAATTGTATTTGTATAACATGCCTCAAGTCCATATATGCTAGTACATCCATAAATAATTTGGGGAAAGCAACCATTAATAGTGGTTACCTTTGAGAGGACTAGTTCTGAGGTGGAGAATAGAATTACTCCTCATTTTATACTTTTCTACAGTTCAAATTTAATATCATGTTAAAAAACATTTGTTTTAATTGAGGAGGGTTGTGGTAGAGCAGGGTAAGAAGGCGCAGATGCTCTCAAGAAGAAAGAACAAACAATCTAAGAATTGCTTCCTTTTCATAAATAAAAGAAAACTCCTTTAAGACAACGAATTCCACAGGCTGTGGTCCTATCATCACTGACACTTCAGGGATCAGTAGGTCAGTCTTCAGAGCCCTTCATATTTAAAAGTTATGTGTGGAGACTGCTAGTAAAATATCCTAATTCTTAAAAGGGTACACTTCCCAGAGTAAATTAAACTGGCGTTCTAATTTATAACTCCATCTCCTGTGAGTTTATCATGAAATGACCCTGAATGTAATCAAGTCTGCATGAACCAGTAACCCTGCTTTTCCAGGGGCCCAAGACAAGTTCCTAGATTGTTCCTGGTGCTCCCACCCCAAAGGCCCAAAAACTTTTGACATTTAAGTGTGGGCTTCTCATATTACAGATCAAGAAAAAGCAACTCCATAGCTCCCTGGGGCTAAATGGCTCAATGGGACAGAAGATACATCGACGAGGTAAACTGAAGTGTCACTGCTACAATCACCAGGATCTCCTTGCTTAGAAAGAAATGAAATGGGCTAAATGACAAACAGCAAGCCCTACTTCATCCAGGCCTTGTGTCAGCCTCCTTTCATCTACTCCTACTTTCTAACAACAACTCTAGCAATGCTCAAGAGCACAACACACCCACCAGCGGGAGTTCTACTAGGGTTCCACTTGAGAAGATGACAGCCCCCGTTTTGAGTAAGAGGATCTTTCCAAAGGGGAAAGAAAATACATTAATTATGCATCAAGCCCCTGGGCTTAGCTGTGCTAACTACGCCTATGCCAATTCAGTGGTTCCTACCTATTTTAAGAAAGATTTATTGCACCCAAGAGTTTCATTTACACCAACACTTGAAATAAAATCAGTTATTTCCAAGCTCTGTAAGTGGCTGAAACCTTGAGCCAAAAGCCCAATTAATCCAAAGATGATCAGAATTCCTTCTAGAATCGATGCTGAGTTACGGACCAACAAGCCTGCTCCTGACCCTGAGGGGTCAGAATAAGTGGTCACCACCAGGCTGTGGTTAGAATTTCCAATCTACGTCCAGCACTGTCTGTCCTTTAGTAAAATGGTGGAGATTTCAATCTCATACATGTACAAAGGCTTAAACTAATAAAGACAGTGTAACATTTACTGTCTCCACCACAGTAAACAAAAGGCCTATTAAGCATGTCACAGATTTTATTTACAATGAAGCAAATCAATGCAAACCTATACTGACATCATCAAAGTTCACATGACAAACTTTTGCATGAAATTCTGCCTTCCATTCAAATACAAGTGGTAATTCTCCACATTTATCTGTCTTCCTAAGAGACACATAGCTATTCTTACAATTTCTTCGCTCTACTTAATCTTCAAATTAACCTGAGGCATTAATAATAATAACTGAAAATTTTAGAATGGCCCCAATTCTTTTTCCCAAAAGAAATAAATACCTGGCAGACATATATTATTCCACTATGGAAAATCAGTCAAGTTAAAAACCTAATTCCAGTTTAGGTGCCTGTAGACAATTTTCTATGACTGCTAAGCCAGAATCATTCTTTGGATCTCTCTATGAGCAAAAAGCTTCCCTATCAACTTGGACACAACTTAACCATAATTAAAACACTAATTCTTTTGCCATCTTGCCTTTCCAGTTTCAAAAGATCTCTGTCACAATATGGGCCAGGGAATGGCCAGAAATACTAACAAAATGATTTACTCTGGCTTAATGGCAACTTAAAATGTCACAAAATGTACCAAAAATAACCCACAAAACTAGTCGTGATTTTCAGTGTCTAATGTCTAATGCCAAAGAAGGAAAAAAAAAAAAAAGAAGAACCTAGCAGAAAAAAATTTACATTTAGGAAAGAGTTAGGACTGGAAACATCTCAAGCCTTTCTGCCAATTACATGATGATATTACCTGCCAACTGCCAACTGATACCATAATTTTTTTGATATTGCATTTTTTTATAATTTTTTTCAAACACTTTAAAACATTAAAGAGGATGTAACTTGCATAAAATGTAATGTGTCCAACATTTCTTCATATAATATTTGAAAACAGTAGCATCCCCTCCATAATTTCAGACTATCAAACACAGTTTTCACTACAGTTCTCAGACAATGAAAAGCAGGTGTACAGAAACCAACAGACTCTAAAGTGTTTCCATCTAAGCCACATTTTATTTTTAACCCTATGTGTGTGTATACATATATGTATGTATGTATGTATATACACACACACACACACACCACACATACGTAGTTTTTATTTCTTCTTCCTTGGAATGCTTGTTGAAACACAGGTAGCGTTGGCCAATTAAGACCTATCAGCTCCAAACTGAATCATGTATTAACCTAAACCACAGCAGGGGTAGGAAACAAACGCTAAGCTATTAAAGCAGGACTATATAAATGCAAATTAACTGGCATCCTAAAGAAAAAAATCCCAAATAGTAAAATGTGGATACCTGGTTGTGCCCAAGGCTGCTGAGAGAGAGTATACTTGGGTCCTCCCTGACTGGCCATTGTTTTTAATGCGGAAACCTAGCAGAGGAAATAAAAAGTTTCATTTCACTGATGACAAATTAAACCAGTACTGCTCTCATAGGATACACCATTTAAACCTATGAAAACATAATGATAATCAAATGTGCAGCCCTGAAAGAAATCCAACATATCTCTCAGTCCTTTACAACTAATAAAATATTTCAGCAAAACTTTTGTGATTTCAAGGCGTATGTTGTTTTGCAAAACAAACAAAAAACAGAACAAAACAAAACAAAACAAAACAAAACATACCAATATCCCAAGGCATTCTGCCTGAAACATTTCAGTGTAGAAAGACAAGAACGAAGACAGAGAAACATCAACACAAAACAGCCCTCTAAGTAGACGTTGAGGTTAACATTAAATTATTACTGTATAGTATTATAAAAATGTCACAGCAGCAGGACAAAATCTCCTTTATATGCCTAGAGGGTTCTTTTCTTCATTATAGGCAGAGAGAATGTTATTTAAGGGGAAAAAAACAACAGACTTTCAGATAGCATCAAAGGGCACATTTGCCCAACCAGTGCTATAGGTACAGAACTGGATGCCCACCCTCTATTCACCTTTCTCTTCATCCCTCAGCATCAGTACAGGGAAGTAAAATCAAGAAAGTACATTTTGTTTCTTGGACAAGAATGTTCTTAATATGGCAAATTACAGTGGGGCTAAGGTGTAGCCAGGGAGAGTGAAGGACACAAACTATATAAAACATTAAAAAACAAAAAGATTGCTAGGTGCCAGAAGTCCAGGCCATGACCTTGGCCTCACTAGATAGTCTCCTTAGGAAAACTTGGGCACCAACTCTTTAGATTTCTCATAAAGAAGGCCACACTAATATTTAGGCAAAGGATGGGCACAGACAGGATATAATGTTAACTCAGCCCTCTTCAGCCCTCTCTCTGTTTCTACCAAGTTCATATTCCTGGACCACCCTAGACTTTTGCTCATGTTGCCATGTGTATAAAATCAGCCCTTTTTACTGTCACTCAGTTCCTCTCTTTGTCTATTTTTTATTGTGAGATGCAGCTTTTAAAAGTGAGTCAAACACACAATTATAGACAATCTAAAAAAAATTTATGTTTAGTATGTATTATCCCATATATTTCCCAGTGTAAATATATAAACACACTAATGTGTCTACATTTACAAAAATAGGAACACAGTGCCCTGAAAACTTTTTTCTAAATCTAAATCCTGGCCATTTTTCTGTATCCAACAGTTATGTTTTAATAGTAATGGCTGCCTGTTAGTTCACTGATTGCGCCAGAATTTAACCAATTTCATAATAACATATACTGTATATGGTATTTTTATATCAAAAGCAAATACAGACTTGTATGTTCATCTCAATTTACTATCTAATTTCCTTATCTTTAAGTTAAGCCTCAAGGAGCTTTTTCTTCGAAAGGTTTAGCCCCACCTTTTTAAAAAAAAAACCCTACAGGATAAAGACAGATCATTGTCTATAATGACACTGCTGTACACATCTTAATGTCTACATAATTTTCTATCTTGATTTCCCATTAGGTTATAACTCCTTGAGAACAGAAATTAAATTTATAGGTCAAATTCTATTACACAAACTATGTCTCAAGAAAAAAAAATTAAATTTATAGTGTTGCTGAGGAAATTAGTAACTTCAGAGGGAACATTAAAAATAACCTTGCAATACTTTAGCAAATTGCTTGAGAGGAAGTGATATTGCTAAATACAAGTCTGCATAAACTTGTCCCACCTGGGGAAACACTTTGAGCTTAGCTATAAACTTGAAATTATACTTCCTTTAAAATGTTTTCATTTAGACTTTTTGCTAATGCAAAATCTTCACTTCAAACTTGTATTTTACTATAAAATAACATTTCTGTTGCACTTACATATGAGATTGTCTTTTGGTCCTCATGATAACCTTAAGTGGGGAGGAGGGGTGTGATGGCTATCTCCACTGCAGAGCTTAGAAAACCGAGGCTTGGAGAAACTAAGAGACTGCCTACCATTCCAGGCAGGAGGTGCGGAAGGTGGTCTAGAGCTCAGCTTTCGTGGCTCAAAATGCTATGCTCCTTCAACTACACCCATGACTACTCCAAGCCCTACTTGTCAGATTGTTTCAAGCAATATTCAGTATGATGAAATTCTAAAACATTAAAAAAAAGTCAACAGCTTTATAAATATCTGACTTAATGTTTTAATATGAACCTCTGCTCCTAACACTTAGAGAACAGTATTACACTCCCTAGGGCTGTTCAAATACTGAGAGAAAAGGTTATTTTTCAAGGAGCAGAAAATAAGGCAATAGTTCTTCTTATATTGTTCTCAAGAAATTTCATTAACTGTGCCAAAAAATCAGGAAGGGTATTTACACCATACAGATTAAGCTGTGGTAGAAATGTTTACCTCGTGTATAATGGGTCACTCTGCAAAACTTGAGCTTCTAACTTTAGCTTTAGTCTCTGAAATGAAGATGTTCTACTTACTCCAGGTACCAGGGATGTAATAAGAACTAATGAAAACAAAGTATCTCAACAGAGAAAGCCCGAGGAAGGAGCTACATAAAACAAAAAAGGCAATTCACAACAAGTCAAAGGGCACCAGAATCACATCTGGAGTCTTAGGGCTCAAACACAAGTCTTCTGACAACCTAAGAATGTCTTCTACACACTCTGACACTTCGTTTTATTATGCAAACCATATATACTTTAAAGATCAGTCCAAACTTAGAAACAAGCTGAGGACATTTTGTTGGTAAGGCTTACATCCAAAGAGTAAGTACTAAGACCTACAAGCACACACTCAAATGGAAGGTAAAAACTGGTTCCTTCCAGCACCTATGGATGCTGGTTTTCCTGCAATCATTTATCAAGGTACAAGAACCGGCTGCCTTAAAATGCCAACTATAATAAAAGGGGTATATGATTCTGTACTTGCAGAATTACCCTTAAAGAAAATCATTTTAAACTTTTAAAATCATTTATTCTGTTTCTGCTGTGCAGAATACTAGTAACACTGACCAGGTGAAAAGTGAAAAATGGAGAAAAACGTTTGTTCAGAGTCTTCCAAATGCACAATTACAGAGTCATACCAAATTTACCAAGCTTATGCTAAGGTCGATTTGGACAACTGCATCAGTGAATTTTCATTCTCTTAAAACCCCTTTAATCCTAGATTTCTTTATAACCAACTTGCTTCTATCAGAAGATTTGTTCTGCTGCTGTTATTGGAGAATATTCATCTAAGATATTTCCCACCAGTATTAATGTGGATGCCCTCCCAAAAATATATACTACAATCTACACGTTGGTTTTCCATGAGGATAATTTCAGTAAAAAGTATAATGACTTATTTGTAACTTATAAACTATCAATATTTGCACCCTTTTTAAGAAAATCAAAACCTAGTAGAAAATATTTCCACCACCCTCCTTTTACATTTATGTAGTAGGGAAAAAACACACATACACATACTCCAAATACCTCATGAATGGACTAAAATCCAGTAAACAAGTAATGTACCCCAATGATAAACAAAGGAATAGTTTGTTCTAACATTTCTATATTTACTTTTCAGGAGGTATCATTTATAATTTTTAAAAGCTAGTATCTTCTGTCTTTATGACAGGACCTAGCAACAAGTTACTGGTGCACAATCTCCTTAGCTGCCTCTTGTCATTCCATGGATATAGTACACTTTGTCTCCCCAGTTAAGACTTAGATAAGTAAATCTGAGAAGAAAGACTGTCAAATTCTTATTCTTTTTTAATGTCCTTTAACACGAGTCTGGACAGACAGCAGAGGCTTAATAAATGAAAGTTTATTTCAAGACGTTTTAAACATCTTTATGAGGTAAGTCCTTAGTAACACCACTTATTTTTTTTAAAAAAATGGTTATGTTGAAACAGGAAAGTCAAAAACCTCCACGATCTGATTTTTTCATTGCTGTCATTTCCAGTTGACGGTTTTTAGATAGGAGACAGAAAGACAGACTATTATAAATCCATATATCTTGTGATTAACAATGTCATTATGTAAAATCTTCAATTTTCAATTACCTATACAAAATGAAAGGACGGGATAACACGTAAAACTAAGAGGAAAAATAAATCACTCATTTAAGTAACAGGAGAAACCCTAACAGACAGTACTATGATTACCGCCATGCAGGTCCTGATCCAGGGAAAGCTGGAGTCCCAGACCACATGCAGATACCTACTATGTGGATAAAGAG